TGCCTGAGATGGAAAGGGAACACCATCTATGACCCTGAGCAACTTAAAATCCTTGTAAATAAAGCCATTTTTCAAATACTCTACGTTGAAATATTGAAGGGAGTGTAAGTAAGAGGCATACGGCTTTAGAAAAACATACAAATCATGTTCACCATGGATTGCAGGCCTCCGAGATTTGTTGCGCTGTGATGTTGGCGATGCAACTTGGTGCCTACTATAAATTTCAAGAAAACTTCCCTTATTCCCCTTTGAGATAGAGAAGTCTCTGAGAAGATCATGCATGCGAATGGTTTTAATCTTTCCAAGTGAGGTTAGTGCTGCCACCTGGATCATGCACCTATCAACCAATTTGTTTAAGCAATTTTCAGCAACACCTTCCGCGGGTTCTTCTCCTTGTTGTGGTAAGAATTGTTCTGGAACCCACAAGGGTATCAACTTTATTTTCGATATAGAGGAATCCGATCGGGGAAAAGACCCAAATGGAGAAAACATGATTTTAAGTGGAAAGGCAAATCACCATAGCTTAGAGCTATAATAAGGTGATGTTTTGAAGCATGCGTCTCCATTCCTCTGATGTCTTCCTTTTCGTGGACTATAATCCTCCAAGCACCACCACTGCTAGTGGCAGACCACCACATTTCGCCATCATCTCTCTTCCGACCTTCTCCAAATCATAAAGCATATAGTCCAAGCTTTCATCTTGTGTTAAAAAATCGTGGTTCAAGTGGTTCGCTCATTGGATCTACGTATAAAGCAATTTCCTTATTTCGGGTGGTGAGCATCACCTTACTTCCACTTGATCACAGAAAAAAAAAAACATATTTCTTCTTTGAGTTATTGATATCAGGCGAAAAGAAAAAAAAAACATACTTCTTCTATGAGTTTTTAATATCTGAAACAAAATTATACAGCAAACTCAATTTTATTAGCATTACTTCATTATAAAAAGAGTGAGGAAATCATTACCCTATAAAAAATACAAAAAACAAATGTCATATAGTTGTAGCAATAAAATACATCACTTCATTAAAAAATTAAAATATAAAAAAATTATATGGATAGAAGAGAGGGGGATTGAATAGAGACAAGAACGATTTTGAACAGATGGAATGTTCTTGCATAGGAGACGCAAGAAGGCTGGCAGAAAAAGAAAAGAATGTAAAACATTAATTGAGTTTGGGAAGAAAGAAAAAATAATAATTGGAGAGTAAAAGGGTTGGTACGGATGTAGAGATGGGATGAGAGAGAAACTTTTACTTTTTGGTTGATTTTTTTATTTAAAATATATTATTAAAAGATTTTAAAGAAAATTGGCAAGTGGCAGTAGGCTTGGGATAATGAGTGGAAAATTGACCTGGCATCCCCGTGCTAGGAACCCATCAAACAGTCAACCTCTCCCTCCTATTTTGTCTCCATCCTAAAACCCTAACCTCCAAAACCATTTCTCAATCTCTCTCTCTTTCTCTCTGCATCCATGGATTCATCAGAAACGCCAGTTGTCATGTACTTCTTCCCATTTATAGGAGGAGGCCACCAAATCCCAATGATAGATATAGCAAGAGTCTTCTCCTCCCACGGAGCCAAAGCCACAATCCTAACCACCACACCCGCCAACGCCCTGCGCTTCCGAAGCTCCATCCGCCGCGACCAAAGCCTCAACCTCCTGATCACCATTCGCGTCCTCGACCTCCCAAACGACGCCGTCTCACCCGACTCCTCCATGTCCGCAGCCCCCTTCACAGACACCTCCGTCCTCCGAGAACCCTTCAAGCTTTTCCTCGCCCAAAACCCACCCGACTGCATCGTCATCGACGTCTTCCACCGCTGGGCGGCTGATGTCATCGACGGGCTTAACATCAAACGAGTGGTGTTCAATGGAAACGGCTTCTTCTCTCGCTGCGTGAGCGAGTGTATCGGCCGATACGCGCCACATAAGCAACTGGGTTCTGATTCTGAGCCATTTCTGGTGCCTCAAATTCCTGATAGGATCGAATTGACGAGGTCTCGGCTGCCACCTTTTGCAAGAAACAAGCCAGGGCTTCCTGATAAAATTGGAAAAGCAGAGGAGAAGGCCTTTGGGGTTGTGGTGAATAGTTTCTATGAATTGGAGCCAAAATATGTGGAGTATTTCAAGACTGTGTTGGGGAAAAAGGCATGGCCTGTTGGCCCAGTGTCTCTGTGCAACAGAAACAATGCCGATAAGACTGAGAGAGGCCAAGCAGCCTCAGTTGATGAACAGAGCCTCCGAAATTGTTTGAGCTGGTTGGATTCTAAAGAACCCAACTCGGTCGTTTACATCAGTTTCGGCAGCTTGGCTCGCTTGCATCCCGGCCAGCTCGTCGAGATCGCTCATGGGCTCGAGGCCTCGACCCACAATTTCATTTGGGTTGTTGGGAAGATTTTCAGATGCGCAGAGAACGAAGGTCGTGTTGGGGACGACGAGAATTGGGTTCCTCTAGGATTTGAAGAGAGAATGATGGAGATGAAGAGAGGGATTTTGATAAGGGGATGGGCCCCGCAGATATTGATGCTGGAGCATGGCGCTGTTGGGGGTTTTATGAGTCACTGTGGCTGGAACTCGACGTTGGAGAGTGTGACTGCTGGGGTCCCCATGATGACGTGGCCGCTGTCGGCAGAGCAATTCTACAATGAGAAGCTGATAACTGATGTGTTGGGGATTGGAGTCCAGGTTGGGAGCAAGGAGTGGGTGTCGTGGAATGCGGAGAGGGAGGAGTTGGTGGGGAGAGAAAAGGTGGAGGCGGTGGTGAGTAGGGTGATGGGTGGCGGTGAGGAGGCGGAGGAGATGAGGAAGCAAGCGAGAGCGCTTGCGGAGAAGGCTAGGAGAGCCGTCGAAGAAGGTGGTTCCTCGTATGAAGGGGTGCATGCTTTGATTTCAGAGCTCAAATCATTGAGAAAGAATTAGTCAGCAAAGTTATTGATTTTCCATAAATGGGGCCAACATGCTGTATAATCGCATGTCGCATTTGTAGAAACGTTGTAGCAATAATGCACTTTATATCAGCGGACGGGTGGACTGGCTTGACTTAGGATAGGTAGCCAGAACAGTATGTAAGTGATTTACATCCTCTATATGTGACCTTCATGTCCATACCAGTATCACAAACACAAACACAAACATAAAAAGCACCACCACCAGAATTTTTCAAAAACCCTACACTTCTTCATCTTCATTTCTAGTCCCAAGCATGAGTAGTGAAAACCGAGAGTTCCACATATTCTTGTTCCCTTTCATGGCTTATGGGCACATGATACCAGTCTCAGACATGGCAAAGCTATTTGCAGCACAAGGAGTGAAGACAACCATAATCACAACCCCTCTCAACGCCCCAACATTCTCTAAAGCCACCCGATCAAGAAGAACCAACTCCGGCCGCATCGAAGTCCAAATCAAAACCATCAAGTTCCCTTCTCAAGAGGCTGGGCTGCCAGAAGGGTGTGAGAATCTGGAATCACTCCCCACACCAGAATTGGCCAATAATTTCTCTAAAGCATTGGGCTTGCTCCAAGAACCACTCGAACGGCTGCTACATGAAGACCAACCGTCTTGCCTTGTAGCTGACATGTTTTTTCCCTGGGCAACTGATGCTGCTGCAAAATTTGGCATTCCAAGGCTCGTTTTTCATGGGACTAGTTTCTTCACTTTGGCTGCATCAGATTGTGTGAGGCGATATCAGCCTTTCAAGAACATGTCATCTGATTCAGAACCCTTTGTGATTCCCAATCTTCCAGGGGAGATCAAGATGACAAGCGCCCAGGTGCCTTATTTTCTGAAGGAGAATATTGAAAATGACTTTACCCAGTTAATGAAACAAGCTCATGACTCTGAGGTGGGGAGCTATGGTATTGTTGTCAATAGTTTCTATGAACTTGAACCCGTTTATGCAGATTATTACAGAAAGATCTTGGGGAGGAAGGCATGGCATATTGGTCCTCTTTCTCTGTGCAACAGGGACAATGAGGAAAAATTATATAGAGGAAAGGAAGTCTCTATTGATGAGCATGAATGTTTGAAGTGGCTTAATTCAAAGAAACCCAATTCAGTGGTTTATGTGTGCTTTGGGAGTATGGCTAGATTCAGTAATTCTCAGCTGAAGGAGATTGCAGCTGGGCTTGAGGCTACTAGGCTGGAGTTCATTTGGGTTGTGAGGAGAGGCAAAAATGATGATGATGTGGGCAAAGAGGATTGGTTGCCTGAAGGGTTTGAAGAGAGGATGGAAGGAAAAGGGCTAATCATAAGAGGGTGGGCTCCACAAGTCCTGATTCTTGATCATGGGGCTGTTGGGGGATTTGTGACTCATTGTGGGTGGAATTCCACATTGGAAGGAATTGCTGCTGGGTTACCTATGGTGACATGGCCAGTGTCTGCAGAGCAATTTTACAATGACAAGTTAGTGACCCAAGTGTTGAAAATTGGGGTTGGTGTTGGTGATCAGAAGTGGGTAAGAGTTGAGGGTGATAGCGTCAAGAGGGAAGCTATTGAGAAAGCTGTGACTCAGATTATGGTGGGTGAGGAAGCAGAGGAAATGAGAAGCAGATCCAAGGGACTAGCAGAGCAGGCAAGAGGGGTTATTGAGAAAGGAGGATCATCCCATTTTGATTTGAATGCTTTAATTGAAGAGTTGAGTTCCCATAGGTAAAGTTGGACCTCACATACAAAATGAGATTTCACTTGATGGGGAGGGGTTGCAGGGAAGATGGGGTGTTGGGTTATTTATCTTATATTATTTTATATTTTTGTAGTAAACTCAAAGGTTATGGATGTCCACCATAAGTACATTGTAATTCCTATCATTATACCTATCATCAGAGATGTGATGAGTCAGTGTTGCTGGTTGAAGCAACTAGCCAACCAAGTGCGCTCGAGAGTATCTCTTGTTCTGAGATCACCACCATCGTTGCAAGGGATAAACCCTCTGCCTTTCTTTTATCTTGTTCATTTATCATATTATTATTATTCTAATATATATATATTCATCATGCTAATCAATTACAGTACGTATAGGGGCATCGTGATATCCTTCCGAAGGACTTTTATCTACTTTTCTGTCACATTTTGCATACATATCAATCAAACTATTCTTCACATAATCTTCATAAACAAGATTAACTCTGATAGCATAAGCATGCACTTCTCTCCCATGATTAAGGGCCTCAAGTGAAGCACACGAAGTAAGAATACTACTGCACCCAAATCCATCTAGCTTCGAACCCAATCTGGCCATTTCAGAAAATCGCTTAACGGCCTCCCTGTTAAATGAGTTTTGCATATACCCAGCTGTCATTGTGGTCCATGAAATGAGGTCCTTGACTACTATTGTATTGAATAGCTTCCGTCCTGCCTGCACTTCACCGCACTTTGTGTAGAAATCTACGAGTACATTAACAACTGAAACATCCATTACTGTTCCCCTTCTAAGCACATAAGCATGGATTTGCTTGCCACCTCCAATGAACTTGAGGGCAAAACATGCAATCAGAAGACTAGAAAGCACATATTTATTAGGAAGAACGTCAGTGTCTCTCATTTGGTTGAACAGTTTCAAAGACACTTCACTTCTTCCACATTTTGCATACCCTGATATCATGATAGTCCAAGTAACTGCACTTTTTACTCTTAAACCATCAAAAATTAGTTTTGCTTCTTCTATAGAGTAAAAATCGACTAAAGAAATACCCACATAAACTTCCTGATCAAAACCAGCCTTCACAACAAAACTATGCACCTGAGCACCTTGATCAACCCCTCCCAATCGCGTACAAGCCCGAACAACACTAGCTAAAGTATACTCATTCGGCTTCCCATCGGAATTCCGGCAGAACTCTGAAAACATCACCAATGCTTCTTCGTCATTACCATGCTTGGTATACCTAGAAACCATAGAGGACCAAGTAACTGAGTTTTTTTCAGGCATTTTATCAAACAGTTTCTGCGCGTAAACAATAGAGTCAGAGTTTGTGTAAGAGTGCAATAGAAGATTAGCAAGAAAAACATCATCTTGAAAGCCCGATACGACAACCTGGGCATGCATTCTCTTGTCGTACCAAATGGGTTGGTCTGAAACGCATAGTTGTAAGAGGTTGACCAATGCCCGCCTTCTGCTTTGGAGGTTTTGGATTGGAAGGCACGGGTCTTGTGACTGAAGAACAGGGCACGCAAAGGTGGAGAAGTTGAGGGCTTGTGTCTTGGTAATCTTCTTCTGACAATGTCTTAGGTGCAGTGCAAAGTTTCTCATACCAAAGGAGAAGAAGTTCTATTCAAATTGTGTGTTTCCTTTCTTTTATAATACTGGTACATGACAGAGCCTGAGTTTGCACCCAAGTTATACTTTGATCTGTATTATTGGCTGGCTGACAACATTGTGATTACTGGTTAACATGGTTTTGAACTCAACCATTATTGTCTAATTTTTTTGCTTTTTGTCTTTTTTTTTTTTTCACAAGCGATTTTGAGAATGAGGAGATTCAAATATAAGACCTTAAAGTGAAGGGATAAGGCCATCTCTAAAAGTGCATGACTAAATATAGCCCACCATTTATAGTTTTGTAAGGAATAGTGAAGGGCTATATTTTTTACCGTCCAGTAGTGCATGCTAAATCATATCTTCTTCAATATTTTATTATTTTTTTAGTATATTTTGGATAATTTAATTAAAGTACTATTTTTAAAATTTATTTTAGAAGAGAAAAATATTGTCGTATAGGACTTTTGACATCCATGGATAGGATTTTAGAAAAGAAAATATTTTCTAATAGGATAAGATTAATTTAAAAACAACAACAACCTACTCAAGAAACTAAAACATTAATTTAAAAACAACAACTGGCCCACCCAAGAAATAATATAATAAGATATAGCCCACCCAAGAAGTATGCCACATTTGACCCTTTTGGCCCGCTGACTAGGTTTGGTCTGGAGATGGGTTTTGGGTGTGAAAGGACTAAATTTGAGAATTTACCCCACTATTAGAGTTGGCCTAACTGCTTTTAACCACTTGAACAAGCTAACAAGCCCATGCTTAAGTATAGTTTGTTAGTTTTGACCCAGTGGTGGATCCAAAATTCAAAATTCGACTCAATGAAACTTACGTTAGAAACCCAACAAAAACTCAAATAAACTCTAATAATAACATCAATGCCTTTAATCAAACATTAATATACAACAACAAATCAACCATCTCAATAATACCAATATAAAATCAAACATCTCAACAAAATTCCTAAAATAAAAAACCTAATTAATTTCAACAAAATCCCAAATTGTAATTCATTCTTAATCAAACCCTAGAGTATATTAGAACGCATCAATGCCCCAGTCGTAGAATCGCCCCTATTTTGAATTCATTGCAAGTTTACTTTGAATGGGTGAAGTTGGGAATAAGGGAAAGAAATATTGGATATGAGATAAACTACCCTCCCTATTCAATTTAAATATTGGGTTTTTATGTATTGATTATGAATTGTAATGTAAAATTCCCCTACTTTTTTTATTTTATTTCGTTTGATAAGTTAGGAATCAAAATAATTCCAATATTAATTCTAGATAAGTAAACATTATCTTTTGGTAGTTTTCTAATTATCAAGGGTGACCAAAATTATAGACTTATAAAAACAAAAGTACGCTAATTACAGTTTCAAATTTACATTTTTATTTCCACTATTTTTCAACATATCATCTTCAACAACCAAAGGCGGAACTAAGGTGGCCGAGGTATGCTCCAGCACAATGCTGACTTTGAGATTAGGCTTAGTGTATAGGCTAAATCCAGATCAATCAAATAATCAGCCCGCGATGGACAAGAAATCAGCCGGCTGAGAAGAAAGAAAAGAGGAAGAGAGGAAGAAGGAAAAATAAGAGAGAGATAGAGAGAGAGAGGGGGGGGGGGAGATATTCAACATTTTATCAATTCCTTGTTTCTCCCCTCTCTCTTTTCTTCTTCTTCCGATTTAAAAGTTCACACCCAGATCTGCAAGTGCAACAAAGTTTTAGTGTTTATGCCTCAGTTTAAATTTTTTGGAGGTTCTCACTATATTAATTCCCATACGGGGAAAAAAAAATTGGTTCTCATTGTTTATATCGATCTCTCATCTAAAAAAAATTGTAGCACACTCCTAGAAAATTCATGGATCCTTCATTGTCAACAACTACAGATTTCTAATGTTCGACATGTGTATTGTGAAGCAAATATGATCACTGATGCTCTCACTAATTTGGGTCAACATAAACAACATCTTTGTTTATGGTTTACTAATTTTCCCAAAATGCATGACTGTGAGGTTGTTGTTTGATCAAAGGAATATTGGAATCCCTCAAGGATTCTCCTTGTAATTTTATTTTGTACTTCAAAAAACTAATGAAGTACAAGTGTGTTGGTTTTCCAATGACGTTGGTTATCGTTGTGAGATTAGCCTTACTCTTTTAAGTGCTACAAGAGACAACACCTTATAATACAACTTTTGGATATCAACATATGTGGCAGTGTTTCATTTATTTTTTATTAGGGAAGAATTAAGTTAATTTTTTCAATATTGTAAAAAAATTTGTAACAAAAAGTTATATATATAAAGGGTATTGAACTACATACCCACATCAACTTGCACTCCCTAACCTTACTCTAGACATAATTTAAATAATGTAAGATAGAAGATGAATTAATAAACCTCTTATTTTGTTTTACACATTTATGAATTAAGTTAATTTTTTCCATGTTGTTTTGTAACAAAAAAGTTATAAGACATTGAACTACAACTCCACATCCGAGTCCAAACTGTTGAGAAAAAAAAAAATTGGTCCGTCTAGGCCCATGTTTGACCCGGTCTAGTCTAGCCCGCTCCGCCAAGCCCACCTAAACTCGACTTAGTTGGTAGGCCTAGGCTTAGACATTTGAAACCTTAGCCCGGCCCGACTTAGCTTGAAAAAACACAAAAGCTTGATAGGCCCGACATGAGCCCACAATAAACCCAAAAATTTCAGGCCAGGCCAGGCTAATAAGGACCCTATAGTTTTTCAATTTTGTTAGTCCAATTACAACAACAAAGATTCATAATATGCTACATATTTTTTTCATTTTCTAACGTATCAAACCATCCTAAAATTCAACATGTTATTAAACTTCAAAGTTAAATAGCTAATATATTTACTATTCAAATATCAATAACTTCAAAGTTCCATCAAACTTCAGTTTCAACATGTAAAATAAAATAAAATAAAATAAATATACAAAGAAATGGTGTTTAAATTCGTTTGCAAAAGTCAAAAACTAAACCAAACAATTATAATGATATTCGTTTAAATCATTTGACTTTTTTCTAGGTTAAAACCAAACATAACCAATCATTACGGTTCGAATCGATCAGAGTGATGCCCACCTCTACTTTGTAGCAGGACGATTAGGTCTTCATTTTTTGGCTAGGTAATGTTCTAGCTTATTTTCATATAAGAAAAAACAAGCGGGTAATTAGGTAAGATTTGCGGGTAGTTGGGCACGCGTGCCTGTCTCAACACTAATTCAATTCTGGTCTGTGGGTCCCGAGATGCATAATCAAATCAAGTCAAGTCAAAATCTGACTGGGACGCACATACCATCTTACTGTAGAAATCCTTTTTTTTTTTAATTATTATTTTTTAATCTTATTATTGAGGGAATTTTCAGGTTTAAAATTTGGGAAATGGGTGGATACGAAAATGACAGGTTTATTACGTATGAAATGTGTTTCATTCATTTCACATGTTTCATATATTTCACATGTTTTTTTTATCATTCATTTCACATGAATTTAAAAAAAAATTAATTTCACAATTCTTTTTTGCTGGGGATTTCACATGTTGGAGATGTGGAGGCATACGAAGTTTTATGATTTTGAAATAATTCTTTTAATTTATTAAAAAAAAAACTCCTCTATCATTTTTTGCTGTTGCTAAAAGTACTTTAGAATATCATTAAACAAAAATCCTTTTTATTTTATTTTTTCACATGAAACAATATTAAAATAATGCTCCCCACATATAGAACACTTATATATATATATATATATATATATATATATATATATATATATATATATATATATATATATATATATATATATATATATATATATATATATATATATATATATATATATATATATATATATATATATATATAAGTGTTCTATAATTTTTTGTAAGGATGATCTATGAATGAAAACCTAAAAAGTAGATGGTTTGGATTATTGGAAAAAAAAATTGTAGGGTGCCCTAAAGGGCGTCCCTCAAATAAAATTATTTGAGGGATCCCTTAATAGAAGGGGACTGTATATATATATATATATATACATACACAGAGAGCTTCTATTGAGAGATTCCTTAAATAAGCTTATTTGAGAGACACTCTGTAGGGCATACTCTGTTTGTGCAAATTTCTCATGGGAGAATATTGGCTTGTAGATCCTTCATCATTTGAGCTTTCTTCTCTCTCTTCCTCGATTCCTAATAAATCAAACATGAGTAAAAGACCACAACCATGGGGTGTTGGCCAAAGGCCATCTGATGCTTACGTTAGTTCGATTAGATCCTTGAGAAATAATAGCTAAAAAAGGGTACGAAGTTTTCTCTATGAGGAGAACCGGGTGGCTAGAGCTGTGTGTGGTGGCACTTGGCCTTGTGGGAGAGATGAGAGTGGTGAGGCCGCCGGCTAGGGATGCCGTCGGCTAGGAGAAGAGAGATGTTTCGGGTATTTTTCGCAGGGTTTCATAATTGAGTTTAGAATTACCTTGTGTGTTGAATGAGGCTACGTATTTATAGGTCTCTAGGCATCTAGGGTTTTCAAAGACTATCTTCTTATTTGGAAAGAAGTTATTCTTTCCCCAAATGTAGAGATTAAATCAATTAGGGATTTGATTGGGATCAAATTCCTAATTGATGATAATATCCTCAAAATAAGATATTATTCTAAATTGGTGATATTATCTTTTCATTGGTGATTTTATTCCCAAATAAAGATATATCATATTTAAGATAATATCCCTATTTTTTGTATCAATTAATTGGCCAAATAAATGGGCTCAATTAATTGACCTAGGAGCAGCGGTGGATCCAGACTTTTTTTAAGGGAGGGGCAATATTTAAAAGTCTAAAGCTAAAAAAAACAAAAAAGACCTTTATTTCATAAAAACTATCTATTATAATATATTCTATTATATTGACTGGTTATGGGTTAAAAGGGTTTTTGTTTGTTGTATAATCTTCTATTATATTTTTTGACCAAAATAAAATCTTATATTATATTGAGATTTCTAAATTTTTAATAGGCAACATTTTGATTTTAACAGGGCTGAGTTGTTGTTCCTTTTTTGGATTTAGTGTAGGTGACGATTTGGTTTTATATGACTTAGGTAGTGGGCCCATTGGGGCAATTTTGTATTTCCAATGGCATAGAAACCAACTTTAGTGAAACACTGCGTTTCATTAAACATAATGAAACTAGATTTTTTACAACGCCGTTTTAGAAAAAGGAAAATTAGGGTATTATGTCTTCTTCTTCCTTCTTGAGGCAATGCCTCAACCTCCATTAAAAACGCTTCTGCAACCTGTCATCTGCTAAATGAGTGGTACCATGAGAACTTGTGAGCACTACGCAGTTCCGGCAAGAGGAGGTGCAATGCACCTCCTTGCTCCTATATGGGTCTGCCATTGCCTATGCGGTATTCTTCTTGTCCACATAATGCCTTGTGATTGGAAGCTTGATTATTTGCTCCCACACTACACATTGTATTTCACTAATCTAAACCGTCTATTTTTTAGATATTCATTCAAAGATCATCTCTATAAAAAAATTATTTGAATCCGACATCATTTGACCACTCAATTAAATTATTAAAATTTTAGTATTTTCTTGAAGCACTGTGTTCATTGATTTTGTAGGACACAATTAGATGTAAGGATGATCTATGAATAAAGACCTAAAAAATAGATGATTTAGATCGTTGGAAAAAAATTCGTAGGATACACTCCTCAAATATTTATTTGAGGGATATCTCAATATATATATATATATATATTATAAGCTTATATTGAGGGATCCTACTTATTATAAATTAAAATAAATTTTGCCGAAGATCATCTATGCTTCGAACTTTTATCAAGCAACCCCAAAATCCCAACAATACGCCTTCCTTCTTTTAACTTCATAATTGATATTTGGCTGCAATTCTTTCTTCTTGCTCTCTTGCCAATTTCAATTCAACTTATTTTCTTTATTTTCCTTCATAAGAATTTACCCATATTTTTCCCTA